CATTTAAGTTTAATAGTAAAAGACTGGTTAATGATAACAATGCATCGTAAAACCTTCAGAAGGAAAGGAGAATGTTTTGTGGACCATTTGTTTTTTTGTGTGTGTGGCAGTTTTAAGTTATTAGTTTTTAAAATCAGTACTTTTTAATGGAAACAACTTGACCAAAAATCTGTCACAGAATTTTGAGACCCATTAAAAGTTTAATGAGGAAAAAAAAAAAAAAAAATTCCAATGAGAAAAGGTTAGAGTGTCTGACTTAAAGTAACAATTTTATTTTTCCTTTAAGAATTTCAATAATAATCTTTTTTAATACCTAAAAGAATACAGGCACAAAAGCTAAATATTACTGAAAGATCCAGCATTTGTTGATATGTAGTCTTTGCTCAAAATAATAGCTTTTCTTATTATCACCAGTGTTATCATGAGCACAGCCATTTATATATATTATTATTTTTACCACCCACTGTTGTGATTAAAACTAACCAACCAAAACAAACTCAAAGCCATTCAAAGAACTGAGACAGAAGCAACAGCTGTTTTTCCTAATAAAACAAACCAATTCCCACTGTGAAAACCTACATTATATGGGAAATGCCTGTGTTCACCTAGCTATACAAACTCTATAAGCAGGAGTGTGATGGTATGTTCACTGCTCTATTACCAGGTTTGGCACAATGATAGACACTGTAAGCACCTACTGTTCATTAAGTAAGTATAAATGTGTTCTACTTCCTTTGAGTTTCTAAATCACAACAACAAACACTGGAACAGAAACTTCAAATATCAAAACAAACACCGCTGTTACCACTACCAAAATTAAGTATTTAATTTTAACATTAAAAAAAACTAACACCTTTATGGAATTAAAAATCCTACAAACTCTCTCTTACATACACACCAAAGTAATCGTGTAATTTCAACCCCCTTACTTTAAGCTAGTGAAATAAAATTAGTAACATACCAGGTTGGTTACAGAAAAGTTAGCAGTTAACACAGCATGATTTCGACTGATTGACTGATCACCTTCAATTAGAATGCCACAGTTTTTCCGTCCAACAATGTATTCAACACCAGTCAAAAGTCTGAATGGTTCTAAGAATTAAAAAAAAAGAAAAAAGTAAATGTATAGACACACACATGATTATGTATACATAGGTATAGCAAATACGTAAAATATTTTTATTTTGTTTTTAAATGTTAATAATCAACTTCATATAAATCAAACCTGTGATTTCTAGTAAAACCTCACTGAAAGATGCAAAAGATATTTTATTTTAAAGATTTTATTTATTTTTTGACAGAGACACAACAAGAAAGGGAACACAAGCAGGGGGAGAAGGAAAACAGGCTTCCTGCAGAGCGGGGAGCCCGATGCGGGGCTCAATCCTAGGACCCTGGGATCATGACATGAGCCGAAGGCAGATGCTTAACGACTGAGTCACCCAGGTGCCCCGCAAAAGATTACTTAAACAGATGGAAAGCTCTAGCATTTTCTAAAGTGAAAACAATACTGAAGTGTCAGAGGTGATTGGCTCAGTCTATTAAGCGTCTGACTCTTGGTTTCGGCTCAGGTCATGATCTCCAGGTCATGAGACTGAACCCCATGTTGGGCTCAGTGGAGAGTCGGCTTGGGGTTCATCTCTCTCCCTCTGCCTCCCATGCACGTGTCCACTGGCTCGCGCGCACTCTTGCCCTCTAGCAAATAAATTTAAAAAAAAAACAAGTGTCAATGCTTGTCCAAATTAACTTATACATTTTATACATTACCAGACAAATCACAATACTATGTTTGGAACCTGATAAATAGATTCAAAAATCCATTGGGAAAATAGAATGTAAAAAAACTATAAAGAAAAATCTGAAATTTACAGGAACTTCCCCTACAAGATGGTAAACTATGCCATAAAGCTATAGTAATTAAAATATATGGTACTGAATTAGGAGTAAACATAGGTCAATGCAAGAAAAGTTCAGACCTGATTTAAGTATATATTTTGGGGAATTTTGTTTTTATGTTAAAGGTAGCATTTCAAGTAAGTGAGAAAGTGTTTAGTTTCTAAAAAAAAATGTTGAAAATCACAAATTGTTGTGTAACAGCATATTTGTTGGAGATTAGTGGAGCTTAGTATGGGAGCTCATGAGTCCATCACTGGAGTGGTAGGGTAATTAGGGCATATAAACTAGACAAGTAGAAAGGCAAGTCATGTTTGGATCACATTTTGTTATTCAGAAACTCAGCCTAGAGTGGGGTGTTTCAAGGAAAAAAAATTGTGCCTTGGTTTACTTACATTTTTCTTCTAGAGGAATGGGCCCATAGTGTCCGTTAGATTCTGAAAAGAGGTCACAATCTCCTAGAAGTTAAGAATGCTGGCCACTGATGATAAAAGCGTTTTTCCACTGTTATCTACCTCTCTCCACAGGAACTGAGAGCCAGCCACAGACCACAACTGTTCCTGGAAAGGAACTGAATCCTCCTTCCCATCAACAGCTTATGTTCTACCTCGCCACTGTCCGAGTCCACAGGGATGCATGGATCTTAAGAGTCTTTTACTCTTTATTTTCTAACCATTTGTTTGGTCCTCTTCATACACTGTTCATAAATTTAGCTTCGAGGTAGATCTTTTGCCAATCAGAATAAACTCCCTGGGGGCAAGACCTAATCATAGGCTACAGCTGCTTATCCACTAATAAGGACGTTGAGTAGGCAATCAATTAACAGGAGATAACCATCTGCCATTGATGAAAGTGCAGAACAGAAAAACAAAACACCCACTTTCTCAGTTCTGATAACAAAAAAAGGGCTCTAAAACAAAACTGAAATTACGCCTTCCCTGTGGCTGCCATTTACCCAACTCATCTCTGTGTTTTTTCACAAAATCAAACA